AGGGGGGAGGGGAAGGAGGGTAGAGGGAGGGAGGGAGGGCAAAGAGAGGGAAGGAGGAAGGAAGGAAGGAAGGAATGGAGGCTGGGTGGTGGATGTGTACACCTTTGAAACCAGCATCTGGGAAACAGAAGCAGAGGGATCTATGTTGTGAGTTTGAAGCCAGCCTAGTCTACAGAGTGAGTTCCAGAATAGACAGGACTATACAGTGAAACCCCGTACCCCGTCTCATGGAAAAAAAAAAAAAAGACAAAGGAAGAAAGAGAACAGGACACCATAGGAAAGAAGTGGAAGGTGTCTTGGAGATCAAAGAGGGGGAGTAAATATGATCCAATGTGTACAAAAATATGAGAGTCGGCCGGGTGGTGGTGGCGCACGCCTTTAATCCCAGCACTCAGGAGGTAGAGGCAGGCAGATCTCTATAAATTCGAGGCCAGCCTGGTCTACAAGAGCTAGTTCCAGACAGCGAGGGCTGTTGCACAGAGAATCCCTGGAAACACTGTCTCAAAAAATGAAAACAAAAAAAGAAAAAAAATTGTAGGCAGGCAAGAAAAATTAAATGTTTTGTTTTTCCAGACAGGGTTTCTCTGTAGCTTCGGAGCCTGTCCTAGAACTAGCTCTTTTTTGTAAAGCAAAGATAACATTTTACTCTGACAAATGAGTCCAATTTGGGTCCCAGCACCAAGGACTAACAAGGGATTCCTTGCCTGCTCCTGGTCTCCAGGGACACTCGAAATCATCCCCACACTGACACATACTTATAATTAATTAATTAAAATGTTTGAACAGACAGCTGGGGATCCGCAGCAGAACCCTCGCTTAGCACATACAACGCCACGGATTCCAGCCTCAGATGGCAAAGGAAATAAAAGGACACAACACGGTACCAGGGGTTATGAAACACGCGGAGAAACAGGAATCCTGGGCCCTGATGAACTCTGCCTGGAAACCCCCAATTGGACACCTCCCAAACAGAAAAGCTAACCATCTGCACCCCGACCCCGACCCAGGCTCCCACCCTTAGCTCACCTGACATCGAATCCCTCCTCCGGGTTGCAGATTCTGCCCAAGACTGTGTCCACGGCTATGCAGAGCTTTGAAATTGAAATAAAACCGTTTTCTCAAACCCTCTTTGAAGCGGGAGGGAAAATCTTCTCCGGCACAAGTTCTGCAGAACTCATTTTGACTTGGCTTGTTCTGGAGGATGCAAGTCAAAAAAAATTGAAGTCGAGATTCATTCAAACTGTGCAAGAACCCAGAAAGGTAGTCACACAAGCAAAGAAAGTTACAGTCCTGCCTGGTTGCCTGTCGTTGCTGTTGGGGATGCCAAGGCAAGAAACATAGGGTCAAGGCCCAACTGAGCTACACAGTGAGGTAGCCTAGGCTCTTGTGTTGTGACGATGTCTCAAATAAATTTCTTAAATAAGATTTCTTAAACACACACGCCTTTAATCCCAGTATCTGGGAGGCAGAGGCCAGTGATCTCTGCTTGAGTCGGCAGTTGCATGAAGAAACCCTTTCCAAGACTATGACTGGTTAAAAGCAGAAAATGTTAAAAAAAAAAAAAATTTAAGCTTCACTGGGATCAGGGACTCACTGTGTAGCCCCGTTTTACCTGGAACTGGCCTCAAATTCACAGAGACTCGCCTGCCTCTGCCTCCAGGGATTAAAGGTGTGCCACAATGCCTGGTGTGAAGGAAGCCCGTGTTTTCTGATTTCTTTGACGCCCAGCTTGACTGGATTTTGTTTCTTTTCCCTTGTTTCAAGTGTGCTTAGTAATGTGTCTTTATGGTTTTTGTTTTGTTTTCCAGACAGGGTTTCTCTCTGTAGCCCTGGCTGCCCTGGAACTTGCTCTGTAATTCAACTTGGCCCTGAGAGATCACCACTGTCTGCCTCACGGTGCAGAGATTAAGGCACGCATTCCCACTGCCACACCCCAAGCCCGAGTTTAGTGATAAAGAAACCACACCCAGTTCCAGACTGTGAAAAAGCCACAGTGGTGGCTAATGTTATGTTGATGGCTAACGTTATGTTTAGAGTTAAAAATTACTGTTCTTAAGAGAACTATAAAGTGCTGGGCAGTGGTGGGGCTCGCCTTTTAACCAGCACTGGGGAGGCAGAGGCAGGTGGATTTCTGAGTTAGAGATCAGCCTGATCTACAGAGTGAGTGCCAGGACAGCCAAGTACACAGGAAAATCCTGTCTTAAAAAAACATGGAAACAGGCTGGAGAGATGACTCAGAGGTTAGGAGCACTGGCTGCTCTTCTAGAGAACCCAGGTTCAACTCCCAGCACCCACATGGCTGCTCACAACTGTCTATAACACCAGTCTATATATATAACAACTGTCTATATATATATATATATATAACAACTGTATATATATATATATGTATATATATATATATATATCAGGGATCAAGCACCTTCACAAGAAATACATGCAGGCAAAACACCAATGCCCATGAAGCATAAAATAAATAAATTATAAAAAACAAAAACAAGAGAACGAGAGAGAAAGTCTTAAAACAAAAATGGACGCACCGAAAGTGAAGGACTAGCCGGATGGTGGTGGTGAATGCCTTTAATCCCAGCACTTGGGAGACAGAGCCAGGTGAAATCAGTGAGTTCAAGGTCGACCTGGTCTACAGAGCCGTTACATAGAGAAACCCTGTCTCCACAAACCAAAAAAATGAATACATACAGACATACACACATTCAAAAATACACAAACACATATATAAAGAAGAGTAAGGAGTAATGAGGGTTGTTTCTGAAGCTGCCTCGTCTTTTACAACTCCGAGACCGCTGTTGTTTATGCCAGATAATAGGTCTCAGGATCAACTGTTGTTTTTAATTCTATAAAAAAAAAAGCTTTCCTAGAGATGAGCAGGACCCTTGCAAGACATCTATTTGCAAAGCAGAATGTAACTATATGTTGTTTGCCTTTAGAAAGCCCAGAGTATTTTGGTTAGAGCTACACTTGGGAATTCCCCAGTTTGACTCCGTTGTAAACCTTGCTCCAGTATTTGAAGAATTCTCTTCTTTGTTAAAATATATTCATGGAAACCAGGTGGAGGTGATGCACCCCTTTAGCCCCAGCACTTGGGAGGCAGAGGCAGGCAGATCTCAGTGAGTTCAAGGCCAGTCCCATCTACAGAGTGAGTTCAGGACAACTGTGATGTTACATAGAGAAACCCTCTCACACAAAACCAATCTATATAAAGGATAATAGGAGATAACCAATAGTTATGATTTTGTAAAAGAAAAAAATGTTTGCTTGGGCAAAATAACTGAGGGGCATCTGCAAACATCTATTTCAACGTCAAGTCCTGCCTACACAAACAGGAGCTAATGCTGTGGGCTAATCCTTCTGTACACTGTGAACATACACTGCTCTCATTGGTTGGTAACCAAAGCTGATTTGGTTTATACCAAGGCAGAATAAGGCAAGGCAAGAAAGCCAAACAGAGATACAGGAAGAAGACAAGCAGAAGGAATCAAGGGAGACACAAGCCAGCTACCCAAGAGTGTCTCCAGGGACACTCAAAATCACTCCCACACTGACACATGCTTATAATTAAGATGTTTGAACAGACAGCTGGGGCATGCATCCACAGTAGAACCCTCGCTTAGCACATGCAACGACATGGGTTCTAGCCTCAGAAAGCAAAGGAAATAAAAGAAGACAACACGGTACCAGGGGTTAAGGAACACGCGGAGAAACAGGAATCCAGGACCCTGATGAACTCTGCCTGGGAACCCCTAATTGGACACCTCGGGTTTAAGAAGCCACAGACATCTGCACCCCAACTTGAGCTCCTACCCTTAGCTCACCTGACATCGAATCCCTCCTTCGGGTTGCAGATTCTGCCCAAGACTGTCCACGGCTATGCAGGGCTTGGAAACTTAAACAAAACCGTCTTCTCAAACCCTCTCTGAAGCGGGAGGGATAATCTTTTCCGGCACAAGCGCTACAGAACTCGTTTTGACTGGGTTGTTATGGAGGATGCAGGCCAAAATATGTAAACTGTGCAAGAAAGCAAGCTACAGTCCTGCGTAGTGGCCTGTCATCGCTGTCCTGGGGATGCCGAGGATGACTGAGCCACACAGGGAGGCAGCCTGGGCTCTTATGTCGTGATGATGTCTCATAGTAATTTTCTTAAATAAGAGCTGGGGGGGCGGGGCTACAAGTGGATCTCTGCTTGATCCAGCAGTTACATGGAGAAATCCTTTCAAAAAAAAAAAAAAAGATTGGTTAAATGCAAAAATGTTTAAAAGTAAATACTTTTTTTAAAAATTAAAAAACAAATAAACTTTCCTAGGATCAAGGACTCATTTGACCTGAAACTCCCCTTGGAGCCCATGCTGGCCTCAAATTTAGAGATCCGCCTGCCTCTGCCTCTAGAGTCTGGGGTTAAATGGATTAAAGGTGTGGTCACAGAAACGTCACATGTGATCCACATTTTTTAAAAATTTCTTTGAGGCCCAGTTTGTTTGTTTTCTCTTGTTTTCCATTGTGCTTGCTGATGTGTCTTTTTGTTTTGTTTTTGTTTTATTTTCTAGACAGTTTTTCTGTATAGCCCTGGCTGTCCGGAAACTCACACTGCAGTTCAGGTTGACCTCGAACTCACAGAGATCCACTTACCTCTGCCCCTCAGTGCTGGGATTATGGCAGGTGCCACCACTGCCGCATCCCATACCCAGAGTTCCGTGATGTAGCTAAGAAAGCACACTGAGTTCCAGGCCATGAAAAGCCACAGTGGTGGCTAATGTTATGCTGATGGCTATCTTTATGTTTAAAAGTTTAAAATTACTGTATTTAAGAGAACTGTAAAGAGCTGGGCAGTATGGCACATGCCTTTAATTCCAGCACTCGGGATGCAGAGGCAGGTGAGTTTAGGGCCAGCTTGATTTACAGAGTGAGTTCTAGGACAGTCAGGACTGTTAACAGGGAAACACTGTCTCCAAAAACTGAAACTAAAACAAGCAAACTAACAACAACAAAAAAAAAAAATGGCCAGGAGAGATGACTCAGCATTAGAAACACTGGCTGTGCTTCCAAAGGACCCGGGTTCAATTCCCATCACCCGCATGACAGCCCACAGCTGTTTATAATCCTGTTCCAGGGATCACACAGTCGATCTGGTAGGCAAAACACCAGTGAACACAAAGGGAAAATAAACAAAAAGCAAAAAAGAAAGAGTGAAAATTATAAAGCAAAAGTGGACTTGCTAAAATTTTAGGGGTGTTAAGGGTTGTTTCTGTAATTGCCTAATCTTTTTTTTTAGGTTTTATAATTTGTTTTATGTATATGGCTGTTTTGCCTGCATATGCGTCTATGTGAAGATGTCAGATCCCCTGGAACTGGAGATACAAGCAGACAGTTGTGCACAGACATGTGGGTGCTGGGAATTGAACCCTGGTCTTTTGGAAGAGCAGCCAGTGCTCTTAACCTCAGAGTCATCTCTCCAGGCCCCTGGTCTTTTACAACTTTAACAACACCATTGTTTATGCAAGATTATAAATCACAAATTTAACCATTTTTTCTTACTCTATAAAGAAATTTGTTTGTTTGTTTTGTTTGTTTGTTTGAGAAGACCAGGAACTGACAACCCCACCACCCAAGGCGTCTGGGAGCTACACTTGGGAATTCCCCAGTCTGAGTCTCCAGTGTAGACCTGGCCCCAGCATCTGAATAATCCTCTTTGTTAAAATATATTCATGGTCAGACTGGTACATATCTGAAATATCCCAGATTCATAACACCAATACTGTTTCATTCTAAAAATTTTTACTTAAACCGGGTGGTGGTGGTACACACCTTTCATCCCAGCTCTCGGGAGGGAGAGGCAGGCAGATCTCTATGTGTTCGAGGTCAGACTGGTACAGAGTGAGTTCCAGGACAGGCTCCAAAGCTGTACACAGAGAAACCCTGTCTCAAACACAAACAAACAAGTAAATATAGACCTTTATATTCTGAGGCCATTTTATGGTTATTTTCACGTCCAGTGCTGAAGAAAGGTCATGCTCTCTTTCTGAGTTGCTGTGTGCTAAGGAGTAAGGTCTCCTTCCCAGGGAGACACTGTGACACTTAACGTTACATTTAAGGTTCTAATCTCTATCCTTTCATGGATTGGAATCGGTCCAGGACACCCCCAGGCCAAGTTCTCAGCACAAAGGAGATTTATTTGTCCCACAGGGACATAGGGCAGGGAAGAAGAGACAAAGGCAAGAGATAGAGAAAGAGGGATATTTGTTCCCCAGTGGAGGACAAAGGGACTACCTCTGGATAGAGAGGAGACAGACCTGGCACATGGCGAAGACGGCGCTTTATACAGGGACGATGTGAAGCCCGTGCTAGGATGAGATGTTTCTTTTTAATTGGGTAGTTTAATTATGTGAGCCAACAGGGGCCTCTGAGTTCTGAATTTCAATACTTTTAGCGCTGGACCTTGGTAATCAGTCTCTCAGGAGGAGGCAGTGGCCAAATAAGGGACTAGACTTTGGTGGCTAGGTTCAGGCAGAGGGAATGGGGAGAAGGACAGAGCCTGTCAGAGTCGTGTTTGCCATGTTTGGTATTATCATTCATAAAACGGGGTGACCATAAGCCAATAGCAGGTCCCCTGGCCGGTAGCCTGAGCCATGCAGGAGAGAGACAGAAATGCCATGCAGAAAGAGCTTGGGTATAGAGTTTATTTAATGGGTTATGGAGGGAGAGGGGAAAGGGAAAAGAAAGGAAGGGGAAAAGAGACAGAGACAGAAGCTGCCTCTCCAGAAGATGGGCAGACAGGACAGAGAGAGCGAGCACACAGACTGGAAAGGAGGCAGGAGAAATGCTTGCCTTGGCAGTGGGAGGCAGGGATTGGGAGTGGGCGGGGCTCGTCCCTTAAAGGGACAGGGTACCCAGGTGACAGACCAGGCCAGCAGATTACAACACTTGGACTGGCTAGAGTCCCTTCGCTATATCTATAATGTTGTACCCTAGCGCCCAAACACCGAGGAGGAGTCGCCCCAGAGACCACCCCTCACATCACAGCTGATGAAAAAGCATGAGGATTTTATTAATTCTGTCATAACAGGGTCCCTCAGCATTCGGGAAACGGAGAGATCTCGAATAGTTGATACAGGCTACTTTTAAAGGAGAAGGCCACAGAAGCAAGGGGGGTTGTTCTTTGACTATTATCATTGGCTTATTCGAAAGGGCTATTACCAATAATTGACTGGAGAGCTGTTGCTAGATCAGATGAGGTAAGAGGTCATTTTGACCCCGTTTTCCAGGGGACTCAATCAAAACATACGTGTATGAGTAATTGTTCAGGAACTGAGTCAATTTCTTAAAGGTTATCTTGCCCCAATTTCTGGAGAACACACGTGCATGTGTAGCTGTTAGGTCCTTGGTTCCCAGGGAAGGAGAGTAGACACTAAAGCACAGAGGCTGAAAGAATTCAGAATTGTCAGAAATGGCTTCAGAATTGTCTTAAAGTTTTACAATAATAAAACAAAAATGATGCAGCATGTAAGCCCGGGCTTGTACAAGCTGTACCCTGTCAGTCAAATTCCTCTTTCCTGTAAGTGTTGGACTATTCTTAAGCACTGCCCAGTCTAGTA